GCTTTCAGCTGACAGCCCAGACGCTCTGCTGCTGCAGACCAGGTGGAGATGGGGGGGCAAAGCAGAGCCAAGCCTCGGAGCGCGTGGGCAGCGGACAGCCCTGTCTGCTGCCCACGTGTTCCGCCGCTTTGCTTCCTCTCCCTGGTCTGCTGGAGACCAGGAAGAGGAACGGCCCCGTTCGTAACTGCGGATCCGACATAAATCTGATCCGCGTAACTCGGGGACTGCCTGTAATCCTTTCCAATGAAGAGGAAAGAAAGTAGCATTATTTTCCTCTGGCAAGTTCTTTTTTTTTTTTTTTTTTTTTTTTTTGCATCCTGAAACATGCATCCGGACCTCTCCATCCAGTTATGTATCTGGGCATACATATATGAATAGGGCTCGATCCTGTAGCCTTTATTGACATTGAGATGCATTTACCTACATAAGTAGTCCTGTTGAGTTGAACAGGTCTAGTTTGCAGTTTCGGTTCCATGATGTATCTATTTTGGGCAGGTCTATGCTACTACTTAAGTTCATCTAACTTGCATCCTTCAGGGTGGGAGGCGTAGTTACACCCCTGAGCAACTTAAGTTACAGCAACCTAAGCTTTGTTCACGCTGGTGCTATGTTGGTGGGAGGTGCTCCCCCACTGCCACAGCTCCTGCCTCTTGTGGAGGTGGAATAATTAGGCTGATAGGAGTGTGCTCTCCCATTGGTGTAGAGTGTCTTCATCAGATGTGTGACAATGGGGCGGTTACACTGGTGGAGCTGCATTGATGTAGCATTTCTAATGTAGACGTGTCCTTTTAGAATAGGAAATAATTGCAGTCCCAGATACAGCTGTTAGTAATTTTTGGTGCCTGTTTTAAATAGTCCCCACTCTCTTTGCACACATTTATAGCTATCTATGTATGTATATTGAGAGACTGATATATGTATGTGACTGATACACACAATATAAATACAAATAGGTATTAAAATATTCCTGATCATGTTCAATCTGACACTGGATTTGTTTTTTAAAAGAAAGTAGTAACAGTTTGGGGTTTTTTAATGAAACAATGAAAAATCGGTAGTTTTAGTTTTAACTCTTAAGGGAATTTGATACTTAGGCACATGCCAAACCCTTAACACAAAAGTAGTTCGAGGTTATGCTCGGATGCTTAAAGGCCACGCTTAAGTGGTTTTCTGGATTGAGTCCTTAATCATTCTGGATTGAGGCCTATAATAAAGTAAGAGTTGGAATGGCTGAGCTTGCAAAGACCTGTGTCAACCTGATGTGAACTGGCACTATTAGAATGGGCACATTGTCTTGGGATGATATGTCTTCTCCGGTTTGTAAATAGTGGTAGGAATAGCTATGAGGATGAGCATGAAAACAAGAAGTGATGAATAAATGATGTTTGCTATATATCACTCAGCTGCAGCAATAATAGCACCAGCAGTGCACAGACAGGAAAGGTCATACGACAACCTCAGTTACCACTCTCATTCTCCCCGGTGTGGCTGAATTTATGACTTCAAGGGGCACATCCACTCCAGACTTTCTCTGCACATGTATGATGCTAAACTGCATTAAAGGCAAATCTTTGCAGATTATCTGTGCTGTCTTTTGCTCTTTTACACAATATCTGTAACATGAGGGAACCACACGGGCATAGTGTGCTCCTAATAACTAACTTACAGCATATCATATGGAGCTACATATCCAAACTGCTGCTCTGGCAGGCTTCTGGTGGCTTCTGAAATGAAGGAGAGAGTGAGAGTTATTTGGGCCCAGAAACCACTTAAAGGGATACTACCCAATTCCTAAATAGTGCAGTACCCATTACAATGTGTTTGGGGAGCCCCAGAAAATATGAATTGACCTGGAGAGGGTGAAATGTGGGTCTTATTTGAAGAAGATGAATGTTTAGGTCCATCAACAACTGGGGTCGGATCCTGGTCATCTTTTGCCTGCATAAAGCACATGGAGTATTTTAAAACCAGGAGTAGAAAAGAGCCTTTGGTTCCCCTTCTGCATTCTCAGCATGTTTCTTTGTGCTTTACAGCCATAGCAAGAGAAGATAATAAGTGGGTGGAGGACCACAGTCTGTGCTAAACCCGCACAATTTTATTAGCTACTTAGTGGATGGAGTGGAAGGTAGAGTAAGAATATTTCCAAATTACAGTAAACTTCCTATAATCCGGCACCTTTAGGACCCAGGGGGTGCCGGATGATCAGATATGCCGGACTGTCAGAAGGGGGGGCTTTGAGGGGTCTGAGGTAGGGTGGGGGGATGCTACCCCAGACCCCCTCATAGCCCTCCCTTCTGATAGTCTGGCTCTGCCCCAGGAGAGTGGGGGTGGGGTGGGGGGGGTGGGGAAGAGACAGAACAGCCCATTTAATTTATTCTTAAATTTTTTTCAATGAAGATATTTTCTTTAGCCCTTGAAGAAATTGCAATCACTGCAGAAAATTCACATGAACGTAATCATCTCAATTTCCATATCAAAATACAGTAAAACTCCGATGATCCGGCACTCCTGATGGTCCGGCACCATCAGGAACCCGCAAGTGCTCTGAGCAGCCGGACCATTGGAGCTGCTCTGCCCCCAGATTCCCTGACTCAGCTGCTGCTAAAACTGACCAGTGGCTGAATCGGGGAAGCCTGGGGCAGAGCAGCTGGGGGACTGCCAGGTAAGCAATTTACGCTAAATTTGAGAGAGATTTAAAACAGCAGTACAGTAGTAAGTTGTAAATCAAGATTATAATGATGAGCAAGAAAATCTGTGTTTCAGAATTCCTGAATTATTGTCCTGGCTAAAGGATTTACAGAAGAGTCTCCACAGTCCTCCCACTGCCAACTACAGTCCTGAACAGGGCCAAATGGAGATATGTGTTACCACAGGCAGCCAGGAAGGCTTGTCTAAAGTAAGACTAAAACCAGAATACATTCTGGCTTCTGTTAAATGTAATTTACCTGTTGCTTTAAATAGAAGTTTACTTTCAGTCACTTGAATTTCGGTGGGGACCTACCCGGCAGCGCCCCAGCTGCTTTGCCCCCGGCTTCCTGGATTCAGCCACTGGTCAGTTTTAGCAATGGCTGAATCTAGGAAGCTGGGGGCAGAGCAGTTCCAATGGTCCGGCTGCCCGGAGCACTTTCGGGTTCCTGAGGGTGCCGGACCATCAGATGCCGGACCATCGGAGTTTACTGTATATGAAATGAGAATAATATTACAAACATTGATTTTTAGGGGGGTAGGATCAAAGTTGAAGAATAGACTCAAGCTTCAGAAAGGAAAATTTTAGCTAAATATCAATAATCTATTATACTTTTGAGGGAGTTTGTCTGTCTGTGCGTGTCTCTCTGTGTTTTCAAGACCCTCTTCCTAAATGGTAAGCGCTAGGACCACCAAATTTAGTATGCAGCTTCCTCTTATAACGCTAAACCAAGGAAAGGGTTTGGTTGAGCCAGGAAAATGAGATGTGCCTGGAATGGGATGCTTCTCAGAAAACCAAATGGAAAAGACACAGAATCACCAGAAGGTGAGAAGGGCTGGAGGGAGGTTTACAAAAGACAAAATCACCTGGACTTCCCCAGTCCTGAGACTTCCAACCCCCAGGGAGCCACTCCTCTGATTTGTATGGGAACATTCCTGGCTGTTTCCTTTCATCAGAGGAAAGTGCACAGTTTGCTGCATTCCTCACCCTGGTTGGGGAGAGCAGATGGCATATGAACCTGGACCTGCCCCAGCAAGGGGACATGTACCCATCTCCTGACTGTGCTCGCTGCTGCAGCCATAGAGAGATGCGTTTTCACCTGGCCCCAAGCTGCTGCAGTGAGAGAGAGCTGGGGTTGTCCTCTCTCCCCAGGGCAGCCTGCACACTGAACCCCTCATCCCCAGCCACACCCCTGAGCAATGATTTAAGTGAAGCATGTATTTTTTTTTTCATTTTATCTGCCAAAAAAACAAAAATGAAGGACCCGAACAATGCTGAGCAAATCTTCTAATAACTTCATAACATGATTTGGTCAATAAAATGTGCTACCATGGGAGGGTGTAGAATTGCAATCTAATGTTGCAGTGGTTCAATTTAGGAGACTTACCACTATCAGAAAACATGTTTGTGACATGCCGCTCATTTTATGAGAAGCATAGCTCATATCACAGATTATGTCTGTTGCATAATGTTGTAATATCTCTTGTTGCATTGCTTGACACTGGAATTCTGAATCATCCTGGAATAGGACCAATTTGAAATAGAAAACACTGAAGATCAAAACTAGTTCTCCTTTAGTATTGCAGTAGACCCATATCTCTCAATCTCTCAATGGTCTCATGTGGCGTGCAGAATCCAAATGAACGATGCTGTTTTCTGAAATGAGAAACAAAACAAGGGATTTATTTTTCCTAATTGTGCCCTCTATTACTCTTCAAATACAGTTTTCCCCTTCTCTGGCTATTCTGTCTGCTTTTTTTTACTTTTCTGTCTATTGTCCAAAACTTATCCTTTTACTCATGTGTTTTTAAGAAGATTATGTTTTGTGCCCACGAAAGCTCACGATACCATCTACATGTTTTGTTCATCTTTAAAGTGCTACCAGACTATTTGCTGTTTTTTAAGTTTACGTTTTTATTAGTTCATTGTAACTATGACAAACACTTAGGCACTTTCCAAAATAAAAAAAAAAGTGAAGTCAAATTGCTGTTTAAATGGCTTTGATGGCAAAAATGAACCATTAGAAGATTTTAGAAGTGAGAAATACATGAGTCTGAAATATTTACTTGAATTCCTTATTGCATTAGGAAAGCCTATACATAGAACTGAGAAATCTAAAGGTATTTTCATGCTTATAAAGCTAACAAAGTTTCAGGTTTACCTTTAATTTAAAACAGTATGTTTGGTATTAACAGTGGAATGTAAAGGATTTAGAAACATAAACAGACTGTTGCTTATTTCATTAAGGGTACAATTGAAATTTGTTGTAAGTTCCTGGTTTCAAAGTGGTTGTTTTAGTTCCTGGGTTCTCTCCTGGCCAGTAAAGACATCTGTTCTGGAAGAATTACAATGGAAGGGATTTTTTTAGGGTAACATTCATATTAGTCTCACACAATAGTCCTTTCTGAAAATAGTGTATCCTGTGAATATGATTCATGCACTGATATTAATAAACAATAAATGTGAATTTCCTTGGATACTTAATACACAGAGCTGTCCATTGTAGGTGATTTTAATGTCTTTCCATTAAATTGGACATTCAGGGATATTGTGTGGATTTCTGGTGCCTGCTGGAGTAGTGACCATAAACCAAGTACAAATCCTTTTTCTATGACATATATAGAGGCTGCATTATGAAATAAATAATCAAAATGTAATTCAGTTGCATTTATGCTAATTTAAGTTATTTTCTTTGTATCCAGAAACCCTACATAAGAGAACATGGCAGAATAGAAATAGATTATACAAACACAAGGGAATTGCAGGACGTGGGATGTCTTTTAGCGAAGTGTGAAAACAAAACACATACACAAACCAAAAATACATTCAAACGGCATTCAAGGTACGGAATATCAATGAGGGACAGAAAACATTACACTCATAACTATAGGTGATACCCTTCACTGAAGCAAAATTATCAAATAACTAAAAGGTTCATCCAGCATTGCTTAGCTCCATATTTCAAATAAGCTTTATTGCAAACTAGATTACACTAAGAATATACTTGATCCATAATCAAGGTTTATCAGCTTAATAGGAAAAAGCCTTTCAAAAGCCTCAAATTTTGACTAAAGCTGAGGCCAAAGTCATCATTTTCATACCAATCAAACAGCTGTTAGCACCAGATTCAAATATTCTTAATCACGTAGAATAGCACCTTTCTCCACAATATTTCCTATTGAAGTTCATGTGACTGATTCTGTATTAAAGAGGGGTATAATCTGATCCCAAATAATAAACAAAGCCCAGTGGGTCACATTTTGATACCTTTACTCCCACTGAATAGGGGCAAGTAGTGTCACTTAAATCAAATAGGACAGCCGGAGGAGTAAAAGTCTGCTTAATGTGAGTACAGCCAGAAACTGGTCCAAAATATCAGGCATTGAGGAGCCAATATTTTGTTATGAATATCGCTAACTCTTTTAAATATGTTCCCATTATCTTTTTTCATTTTGCTGCAGTACTGTGTACTGTGCCATGGATATCCGTTGTAGGCTGCTTAAGGTGACCAGATAGCAAATGTGAAACAAGGGGCAAAGGTTTGAATAAGAAGTATCTGTATTAGAAAACTCCAAAATATTGGAAATGTCCCAATAAAATTAAGACATCTATCTGGTCACCCCAAGGCTGCTGATCCCCCAATGGGCTGATGATTCAACTATGAGGATGAGATGTAATAGGACCTTCGGCTGTGGTTTAAAAGGAATACACTGATTGCTACAAAGCTCATTCTGAGACAAATGGCCAATGTTCTATTATCAAGCCTTAAGTAATAGATTTATACACTGAAAAACCTGGTTCTTTCATCCAGTGGAACTACTTGTGACATAAGGTAGCATGCCAAGCAAATAGAATAGCAGAAGACGCCCATTAAACATTGCCTGGATAGCTACGGGTAAGTGGCCTACTCAAAAACTGAATGCCTGTGAAAATACAAGCAGTCTCTATCCTCACAAACAAGACTCAATGCAGAAAACTGTCAAGCTGTAGTTCAGCTGAGACTGTGGGGAAGGGCTGAATGTAACATTAAATCAAAGCTGTGTGCACAAAGGAGGTGTCCATAAAATATTTAGGAAACCTGATCTCCAGGGAGAAGTTAAACTGGGGATGTTTAATCTTATGAAAAAAAGACTGTGTGGGGACCTGATAATTATCTTCAAATATGTTAATATTTTAGAAAACGGACTGTGATCATTTGTTCAGTGCCCACAGAAGGTAGGATAAGAAGTAATCGGCTAAATCTGCAACAAGGGAGCTGTTGGGTGGATATTAGAAAAATCTTGCTAACTACAAGGGTAATAGACTTCCAAGGGAGGTTGTAAAATATTTAAGGATACATCTAGACTGCAGAGTTTTTCCAGGATACCTCTGGTATCCTGGAAAAGGTCTGCTGCATCCAAGGAATGCATCTGCTTCCCCACCACCCCCCAAAAAAATCAGAAAAGCAGGCGTGTTTTTTTGGCATCCCTGTAAACCTTGTTCTGCGAGGAAGAAGAGGTGATCTGAAAGAGGCTTTTTTCCTGACATTTGGCCCAGTGTAAATGTGGGAAAAGCCTCTTCCGGAAGAAAAGTGCTAAAAGATACGCAAAATTTGATGACCTCTCAAGGGCCTTTCCAGCCCAGATAAATGTTTTATAGCTGTGGGGTTTACCCAGAAAAGAAATATTTTGATAGTATCAGAGTTAAAATGCATCCTCTTTTACAATCTTTTCATCTGACATGCGTGATATGTGTGCTATCTACATTTGTATTTACTTTACCCAAAGGACTAGGTAGATAAATATCTATAAAGTATAACTTCTGGATATCTCTGTTCCACTTATCTGAATTCTGCTTCCATGGAAGACACCACTTACATTTTAACTATAATTTCAGAAAGCCGGAGGAAAACACTGCTGTCATTTTTTTCCCATTCCCCATCCTTTTCCATCATTTGATTTAATTTTTCTTGGACATCTCTGAAGTTGACTTAAGACCAAGGTTCCCTCTAAGCTCCTGCACAGGCAGGGAGTTCAGCTGATTGTCATGGGGTGGGGCATCTCACTGAACAAACAGCTAAGCCGAGCTAGCTGCCTGCTTGAACTGAGGAGCTCCCAGGACTGGTAAAAAGGAAGATAAAGAGACAGTTAGTGGCTAGGGGAATGGAGAGTGAGTAAGTAATTGGCTGATAAGGAGTCAGAGGGGAGGGGAAACAGGAACTCAGCATTCTTAAGTATCCTGGGAAGGGGGAGATAAGGAGGGCTGACTGCACAGGATAGGTGGGGGAAAGAGAGGTTGGGTGGGTGCCGGTGTCTATGTAGTGAGATAGAGCCAGGGGGCCATTTGTTTGGGGTGTCTGACTCACTGCAGTCCTCTCTGAGGTTATGTCTACACTACCCCCCTAGTTCGAACTAGAGTGGTTAATGTAGGCAACCGGAGTTGCAAATGAAGCCCGGGATTTGAATTTCCTGGGCTTCATTTGCATATTGCCGGGCGCCGCCATTTTTAAATGTCCGCTAGTTCGGACTCCGTGCCCGCAGCTACATGCGGCACGAACTAGGTAGTTCGGATTAGGCTTCCTATTCTGAACTACCGTTACTCCTCATGGAACGAGACATAGTGTAGACATACCCTGACTGGGTTGAGACGGGGAGCAGGCTGCAAGGGAAGTGTGTGTGCCAGGACATTTGCATGATTGCATGTCAGAAAAAGTTTGCATAGGTGGTAATAGCTTTAAATAAGAAAAAACAAGATTCTTTTAACAGAATGTTTTTGGAGTGTTGCAGATATCTAAAACTTTGAACTTAACGATTTTTTAAAAATCTGTGTTACTAATAAATACATGGTATATTTTATTGTATTAAAACCAGATCTCTGCTATTTGGTAGCGTTCTGGCTTGTATGAGTCAGAAATAGCAAGTATTAACTTGAGCTGTTAGAAGGGTTAATACGTGTACTCTCCAAGGATAGTGTTAATTTTCTTTATTTGATTTCATATTAAATATCGTATGCATTTCTCCTTGTTAAATATCCTTGATTTAAAATATTTTCTTCCGCACATATGGACTGCTTAAAACTATGTGTGTGTGCTTTATTTGCATTAGGGGTGCATAGCCACACACACTACCTCAATGTTGGTGGTGCACATAAGAAATTTTAACCTGCCCAAAAGAAAATTCAGCTCTCCCAAAGATAGAAAATGTTAGAGGAACACTGCTTAAGACCTTGAGAGCTATGCATCTTTGGTATATCTGAAATCCCTCAATGGCTATTTAAAAAAATATCAGACTCCCAAAAGGGGTACAGAAGTCTGGAAAGGTTGAGAATTGCTATTCTAGAACAAATCTCAGAGGGGTAGCCATGTTAGAGTGGTCCTGTAGCACATTTAAAAAAAAAAAGTACTCGAAAGATTCTGATCTTCCAGAGGCTCACCTTTACAAGTTTTCCTACACTCTGATTCATGAAGGCATAATCAAACTTTCAAATATCGATCTTCTTCTCAAGGGAGTTGTGATGCAGAATGGCTTGTTCTAAAATAAAAACAACAAGTGGTCCTGTAGCACCTCAGCCATGTCTACACTAGGAAATTATTTCTAAATAACGTATTTTGAAATAAGTCCTGAAATAACTATTTCAAAATAGCATGTCCACGCTACAGGGGAGCTTTGAAATTAGTC